AAAGGATTAAAGCAATTGAGAAAAGCAGCCAGGTCTGGCACACAATTTGCAAAGCACCTGTCTGTGATACGGACACGTACGCGCTAGAGGTGACAAACGGTGCCAACGTTAGAGACTCCCTCGCTCGGCTGGACTGCACCAAGCTCGGAGCACAACGATAGGGCGCTCCTTCATAAACACCCAATGCTGGAATTGCATAACAGAGTTTTCTTCCACGGAGCACCTTGATTAGAGCAGCAGCCACCCACAAGCACAGCTCCCTCCTTAGAGCCCACCTGGGTTGTTCTGGGTCACGTCTAAGCGAGACCGTCCCGTTCTGGAGCTTCATACCACGGTACTCACCGATATGCGACATCGGAATGGGGTAATTGCCTTTGTCTGGGGCATTGTAGATGACCGCTGCTGTTGCTCCCCTTCTGGCTGCCAGCCTTATTTTTTCAGCAAAAGTGCAATTGCCTCTTTCAATCAGTGCTATCCATGGCGGCTCCGTGATGGTGAATTGAGTGTTCAAGTCACAGGCTTGAAGATTAGCAGATTTAGGAATGCCCACGAGCCCCTGAGCACTAAGTAGAGGAGAGTTTAATCCGTACAGGCCACATTCGCAGTGCTCGGACACAGACCTGTTACCAGTAGTATTGAAATAGAGCAAACTCACAAAGGCATTCACAGGAAGTGTCTCTGTAGCCTTGAATAAAATACTAATAATCAGCAGGAGGCAGGATGGACAGGACTTATTCTCTCGCTTCATTGCTTAGTCATTTAAGTACAAAATTTAGATGTCTACAGATATTTTCTCCGGCCGCTGGTGGTCATTGTTAGCCCTCAGCCTGCTGATTAGCTTGAAATTTCAGTTCCCAACAGGAACCTGACACCACCCACGTAAGTCCTCAATGCGTCAGCGAGCTTATCTGGAGGCATGGGGGGTGGGAAGGAAAACAGCGACACTCCTACTGGTTGTAAAGCAGGGATGCAAACGAGAAGTGTCCTTTGACCCCGAGTTCCTTCTGCTCCTTACGAAGCACCATTACCTCTCCCCTCCGCTCGCATTTCTGCACAAGTTCCAGCCCTGACAGCGTTTCATAAGAGATTGCTTTAAGGCTGCTGCTCCAGGAAGTCTCCTGTTTCAACCCGAGTATCACTTGTGAGGGAGCAGCTCATCTTCCCCTGGGTGATGTAACTCTGGGTTCTCGCTTCACAACACAATCTGGGATGCAAATGGCCTCGGTGAAAATGTCAAAAGCAAAGGGAATTTTCATAAAACACACAAACTTCCTCATCTTAAACACTGTAATAACCAAGTACTCGCCTCCCCACTCCCCTTTTTCTTCTTTCGAGTCTTTTCAGTACCTGCTCTGGCAGGTCCAACTTGTTCTGATATTTACAATGAACTGATTTTAACATTGATTTGAACTGAAGCAAGAGACAAAGAATCACTAAAACTCATTGTAGAATCAAATGACCTTTCCAGCCCATTTTTCCCCATGCTAGTTCCCTTTCAATTCTCATTTTGATGCTTGAGTTACTATCACACAACTTGCCATGTCAGGATCTAAGTTCTCTAGGTTTCCCCCCTAAGCTGAGTCAGAGCCGTATCCCACAATGATAACTAGCATTAACCCCTTTTTTCTCACACTAGCAACATTTCCCATTTTCGGTTCTATTCACAACTTTGGAATCCACAATGGATGACATGCAGCAATGCTGCACACATCTTGGAAAGCAAAACTGAAAATCAATGCCCTGCAAACACGATTATTTGTAATAGCAACCACACGCACACACACTACACCGTGATTTGCAATGTGCCCATAGAGGGCTAGCTGCATTGTGGGAAAGAAAATGCTTTCTTTATGAGTGGTTATACACGAAGACGGAAACAAGGAAAACAACAGACAGATGATGGAGTGATCAAGACCTCCTTCTATTTTTTTCTGCTCATGTTGTGCTGCACAGCGCTGCAGGCCAGGAGGAGCTGCAATAGGACGTGTGTATTTCGCCAGAGGCTGGACCTAGCTCTCCTGTAAAGATGCTGTGATTAAACACAACGCTGGAGAGATTCTTTCAACACTAAAGCAGCTTTTAGAAATAAATCTACAAAACAAAAAGAAACAATCCAAGACAATTTAAGATATCAATTCATTTATTTATATTATCCATTTTTTCAACGATACACTAATTCTACATCACATTAAGCTGAAACCGATCTTACCTCTAAGATCTATGAATTAAAAACATCTATGCACTTAGAAGTACCATCAGTTAAACCTAGTTTATCTTGTCTTTGAAATTAATGCTAAAAACACAGAAGCCATGGAAACTTACAATTTTAGAGTACAGTTCTTTGGTTGGATATGAATTTTATAGTTGCCTGCAATATTCTCTGGTAATATTATGCCCTCAGAAGTGGCAAAACGCAGCAGTAAGAAAGATTTTGCACAAGGAATGACTTTGTATGCTGGTTTCACGTGGAAAACTAACGTATTTTGACAGTCTCATGATCAAAAATACTTTGGTTTTACACTTGCATCAAACAACACTGAGTGAAATAAAACAGCGAAGTAGTTTCTTCGCAGAGAATAGCTTATCCTCAAGTCCTACAGTACTTCTTTTGGCAGTGGGGAAGGAGACAGGCTAGTGGAACCACAGATTAACACTACAGCAGTTCAGAAACTGAAGTCAGAATATTAAATTCCAAATAATTTACGTGGATGGATAAGTGCCTCTGAGGAATGACCTGGAATACCCAAATTCCATGTCTGACACTTTAGCTACACAAGGAGCCTCTGCGTCTAACATAGGCACTTCATAGGCACTTCTGTAATAGCTTATCTTCCCTTCCCACTTTTTGCCATGACAAATGTCAAACAACATTTCTGTAAAATAAAACTATACACTTTAAAAGTATTTAATTTATACCATACATATTTCACATTGTTCCGTTTTTCTTTTAGAGTTAGAAAGTTCTAACACGGACGATCAAGTGATTAATGCTACATGTTTAAAAAGTATTAATCAGTGCAACTCAGCAAACTGAATTTTGCTGGATTTCCATTGCAAGGGATGAATTGAATGTCTACAACATCTGAACGCAGTGGCTATGGTAAAGATATTTAATTTATAAATTGTCCCTTAGAAATAATGGATTCATTAAAATTAGACTTCGACTTGAAGTATATCTAAGTAAAAAATACTGGCTGACACAGTCAGCGTGGCTCAGTTTGGAACACAAAGTGCAGGTGCTAATATCTTTCTCTTTCTAAAGCAATGACCTTCATATATCCATAAACAACCAAATTACACAAATAATATTGCAAGCAACGCCATGCTCTTCTCTGTAGTTGTGCTTAATTTTGCCTTCCGTGGCTATGAATTATACTATCAGGTTTTACATGTTACAACATATTCTGAAAGCCATGGCTTGAGAAACACTGCTCTAGAACTAATACTACACTATCCACACAAAATATAAACATACAATACATAGTCTTATATATTTTTTTCTGTGCATGTTTAATATTTTTACATTAACATATTCTAAAACTGTACACAATATTGGAAACATAGAATTTATCCATTTCTTTATTTGAAATTTATTCAGTGTCATCTATGAAACTGTGCTATCATGAACACAGTTAAGTTTCTCCTTAAAATACTTCTAACTGATGTTATGTGCAGAGCTGAAGCACTGAAGTCCACTGTGCGCAGAGCAGACACCAGTGAACCACCTAGTTGACTCAACTACTCAACGATTACTAACAGACTGCTAAAAAGGCCCAAGGAAGTTTTCCTTAAAAGAATAAATCTTTTCCCTTAAATTAACTCCATGGGCTTTGGTCAATAATGGTGCTATTTAACTGGCAGTCTTCTGAGATGCAGTCACTTCTTCTCAAAGAGCTGACTCAAGACCAACATTTCACACGGGCAAGCTATCATATAGCAATGCATTTTAACTCCTGCTGGAGAACAACTTCCTAAAGGATCTAGTTGAATAACTGGTTTAAGGCTAATGTTTCATTGGTGAGGAAAATGTGGCCTGCTTCTGAACTCAGCAGGAGCCAGCAGCTGCTACTTGGTATATACAGTCACTTGACAGTATTTTATGCAGTACTTTGTCCTTGTCAAAGCAGCAGCTTCTTGCTCCTGCCGAATCCCCTCATGTGTTCAGAACACAGCTATTACTGTGAAGACAGACAGTAGTACCATTTGTGAATAACAAAAAGTGTGAAAAAATGCACTTTCTGCATGGCAAATATTTCTTAAGTCAGCTCTTCTCTTGCATCTCTTGCAGTCACACATGTGCTTATAAAGAGAAAGCTCTTTTTTTTTTTTTAAACAAAATACTTCCTCATTTCTTTTAATAAATAAAACACGTTAAAAACCTTTGGGTGCTACACTTGGAACCCAACACTTAATGTACAAAAGCAGCTATACAAAAATACAGCAACTGACCTTGCTTAGGTAAAAAGCGATTTCTTGGCCTATTACAGCCAGCCCCTGGTATTAAAGGCACCATGATACAAAATCCCTTTCACAAACACAGTAAGCATCAACCTTAAAAAGGCTCTCTGCAGTGCTCCCACTCAAAGAGCACAGCAGAACGTAACTCTATCCTCAAAATTATTCTAATTTCCAGCCTAAATTTATTTAATGGCCAGTTAATTCTTTTGCAAACATTGTCTTTAACACTGGGAAAGCCTGTGTCTCTTTGCAGTGCTCCCCTTGGTACATACATTTCCTGTGCTTGTATGTGTGGACAAAGAAAGAGGACAGTCATACTCCTTGCTTCATCAAAAGATAAGCTCACTGTACTCCCTAGTCATCCTTCTTTAACCCAGATGACCAAGACACTGTGTAAGTTTTTAACAGTCTGTTCTGAGGCTGCCAAAATAAGGGCAATAATTGTGTCTCTCAGTTGCACAGACAACCATTATAATTGCTTTAAGACATATTTTTTTGTCTCTGTTAGTTCTAGAAAAGTGCAATGTGTAGAGGGTGTTACAGCAATTTTATTTCCCTCTTTTTGAATAAGTGTGAAGAATAAGTTATCAAGTTACACTGGATCCAGCACATCAGGTTCCACTGTCGTGTAGATTTTGCTCAGAAAGACTTCCACCTTATCATCACCCAAGTGACAGATGTCCAAGATGCAGACAACATGTTTGCCATCTAGGTCCATTGCTGCTTTTACAGTTTCACCTTGAAGTTAAAAAAAGTATTTTCCATGAGAGTACAGTAAAGAAGTAAGCCGAACTGTCGTTTTCCATGCAGTAATGTGTACATGTTCACCCTTTTTTCACTGACGAACTTGAGGTATATTAAGTGCTGGCCTGTAAACTTTCTTTTCTTTTCTATCCCCACCACCTTTTTTTTTTCTCCTCCCTTCCAGAAGTCTATTACCAAATTCAAACACTAGAAATGGCAGCAGTGGAACTTCAGTTCATAGATTCTTTAGGTTGCATTACATTGGCCATTCTAACTGACATTAGTGAAATGTGATTAACTGGCATTAAGTTCACTGTTATGAAGCAGATCAAGCCAAATATTCATATATTTAACTTCTCTATGTCAGGATATTTTTTTAATCAACAAATATTTGCAAATACTATCTAGGCAATTTGGGAATTTATGTTTTGAGTATTACAATATTATCTTCAAATTATAATATAGATCCAGTAAAAACTGGCTTGAATACACAGGATTACAGCTGTGCAGTGAAAGCAATCACCCAGAATTCACTGATAACGTGAACAATGCTTGATGCCAGTAAAAACTGGCTTTAATACACAGGATTACAGCTGTGCAGTAAAAGTAATCACCCAGAATTCATGTATATTTCACTGATAACGTGAACAATGCTTGATCCACGAGAAATTTCTATAGCAGGTCAACTACTGCATTTAGAGATAAAACAAGAAACAGTAAATAACATCTGTGCAAGCAAGTCTTACTTGAAAGTGGAAACATGCCATGAAGCCCTCCAGTGCTACTAGCCTTCTGTTGACATGCAGAGATGCAACTCATACAAGATAATAATGTATCATTTTGAATGTCTTCTGTTTGGAATAAGTGAGTATCAGGACAAAACAGTGGGAGAAATGCAACATCTATTGCAACATCATGGTTTATACCTGTTGAAACAAGATACTTATGTTAGCAGAATCCTTCTTTTCAATTCAGTCCATGATTCTAACAATATAAGTATTCAAAAACTTTCTCCTAAGCCCCTCTTGGTAAATAATCAAAACTTGTAAGTTACAGGATCTTAACACAAGCATCTTTAAGTTAGGTAGTTTTCTTCTTTTATTAATGAGAAAACAAAATCAATTGCATTACTACTTCACATTAATGTTAACAATCAGTTGTACATCAAGTTACATATTTAGATTTTAAGGAATAAAGATCCATTAAATGGTACTTTTTAGCTGTTTTGTGCTAACCAGAAGCAGCACGAAACTGTTGAAGAGTATGGGTAAACACGGCTATTAATTTTCTAGCATGGAATAAAAATACTTCAGGAACGATACCCCAAGCCAACCCAGTAAGAATAAAGCTCAAAGGAACATTTAAATGCATCCTTTTCACTTTAAGAACACTGCTTTCTGTCAGATTAATACCTTTCCAGCATGAAAGTCGGCTGACAATAAAGTGCAATGGAATAATTTACCTGGTTATGTAAATATTGAATTAATTACTGAAAAGGAACTATTTTTAATAGTAAGGATTACACAGATTCTTTAAATAACATGTTAAATTGCAATTACGTTTGACTGCTTGAAATTTCAAAAGCACTGTTATTTTTTTTTCAAAAATAGTTCAATTCCTGAAGATGTTATGAAAACAAAACACTATACAACACTCCATAAAATAGGCATCAGACCAGTGCCTCAAATATCCTACAAAAGCAATACTAGTTCATTCCTCTAACAATAATCTAAAACATCAATCATCATTCCTGTTTAAAGGAATACACAAATCAACATGTTAAGTCAGAGAAATCCATTCAGTTACTGCTGAAGATCTTAATTTAACCTTCTTAATTTAACACAGCAAATACCTGAGGTTGAATACTGCTTAATCTTTTTTTAGAAGCTGAGCTACTAAACACTTACCAAGTACTGTCACTTCATAATGCCCAAGGCCACTAGCACTTTTAAATTCACTGATGTTTTTATCTGAACTATGGTCTTTCGGCTGGTGGACTGCTGCATGAAGGTTGTACAGTTGCATAAGTAAGTCTTTGTGTACATAGTCAAATTTACGTGGGATGCTTTCTGGGAAAACTGTGCTGTGATGCAAGTATTTCATTAACTTGTCTTTCACTTGCGTCCATAGGTCACTCTGCCATGAATCACAAGTTCTTCCAGTCTCTTCAGGTTCAGGTATTTCATTCATTCCATCTTGGTCTAATATAAACACAGCAAATAAACAAATAATAAGTTGCTCATACAGTTAATTAATACATTAATAAATGCAAATGCGTCTACATTTTATTCACATTAGCTCTCTCCATAGCTTTTTTAAAAGCCAATCTCTTTGAAACCAAATACATGCTACACAACATCATAATAACTCTGGAGACAGTAAAAGTGTAGCACAATTAACACTATGGCTTTGTCTACTAAGAAATTACAAAAGCTCAGTTCAACTCCTCTTTAAAAGACAATTTTCATCAAGGACTAACAACAAAAAGTCAGTCATTATCTGTCACAGTTTATTACTGATAGGCTCTCTGATTATTGAGGAACATGTTTTTATATAGTAGCTACTGCGGCTCTTTTTCCCTTAAATAAAACTCTACCTTATATGGTTACCTGTACAAATTTTACTCCAATTTTAAAAGTTTTTTCATTATTTCAATCTTTAATATATTAAATGTGGAAACATGTGCTGTAAGTTCTAGTGCTTTAAAGCAACAGAAGGGAGAAGTCTACAGCAGCCACCTATCAAGAGTAGGAGTGCAGTATTATTAAGATGTCTTGCAAGAATAAAAAGTTGGACAATGTTATACATAATATGACTACATATAAAAGCTACTAGGCAGATGTTAATGTTGGGACAGATGCTAAAAGTAGAGAGGTTTTTAGACAAAATTATAAGAATCAGACTATATTCAGTTAGCTCTGTAAAGAAGAAAATATGCCAAAATATTTGCATGAAATAAAAAAACGGACCAAGCTACATATAATGAAAACAAATTAGTCTTCTTCCTTCATCCCAGAACAGATTTTGAAAAAGTAACTGCTTAGAATATGAGTTTATATTTCTACTGCAAAGGAAGAAAGAAAAATTTGGTAATATTAACACATAGAAAAACAAACACCATTCTAATTAGTACTTTGTATGTTCCATCTACTTCCTCCACATCCTGTATTTGCCCTTTAATTACATATTCTAGCAGCTTTAGGGCTATCTTCCTGGACAGGGCCAATTTTATCACTCATAGATCACTATTGCAAGCAAACTGTCAGCTGGAGATGGACACTAGTAGCCTTTTGCTACTAGGTCTCCTGATCAGTGCTCCTGAGGTACAAAATGTACTTAAAGTTGGTATAAAGCAATATTAAGGGTTTATTCCCAATACTGGAAAACAGCCCCGCACTATCTCTCTCGGCATCCTTCAGAATGTATTAGTGACATGACCAAGTGAAACGATATTATTAAGATGTTGCTGCAATGGCTCCCTAGAGGTTAATGTAACCACGTGTGTATATAAGAGCTGTCCTCTAAGGATATCTCTGTTGCCTGTTTCGAACCTGACGGGAGGAAGTCGACTTAAAGCCCTATAAAGGTTAATGCATCATAATGTATATATTTCAAACGTACCTGCACAGTATTGTAAGCTCTCTGATACGGCCTGTCCATTTCTATCTTGCACAAAATCTTCATGTTGAAATTCACTCAAGCTATAAGAAGAAAGTTAGAGTGTATATATTTTAAAACCTATTTAACCTCAAACTCTACACAGCAAAATTTCAAAACTTGACAGGTTTCTAGTGATAAATGATACAAAATAGAATAAGGAAGCATTAGTACCTGATTTCACATCACAAGAGTTGGAATAGAGCAGTTAACGAGATGTACTGCGCTCAGTAAATCACTTCTGAAGAGCTCAGGACAAGAACTGCTTTATTTCATTGCTCTCTGAAGTAAATAGAAAAGCACTCCACACTCCGGGGGAAAAACCAGCACTATTTGTGCCCTCTGCTGGGCAACTTTATGAAATAGCTGAACATAAGACTGCAGGCAGGGTTACCATTTCATTCTAAACGAAGTCTCCACAGCACAATATTACGAGCAAAACTTCTGCAGTGAAAACCAAAGCAAGAGGGGAGCAGTTACCACTGCAGAGCGATAATCCAAAAGGACAGAGAAATTGCATGCATGTTTGTCTTTGGACATAAGACCCTGCCAAAACCATCAATTCAATGAAGCAAACTGCACTTTTGTTAGGCTTCCATTTTTAACTGTGATTTTGAATTAGCTGTAAGCAACACTGTTCTCCAATAATTGCTAATCAATTGCCTAGGATATGAGGCAGCAGAAGAGCGCAATGTATTTTACTGCAGCCACACTCCAGTAAAATAAACTTTTAGTCCCATTTATTCTTATCCCCTTCTTTGCTTCATTGCTCTTTATCCTCATGTCTCAATAAGCTTGGGAAAAACAAAAAACTATCGTGCATGACAAACAACTCAGACGTAGGCAAAGCTATGCTGAAGCACCCTTAAAATTCCATGCAATCAAAGCAGTTCCTAATAAAGTATTGTAACTGCAAATGCACAGGGACAATGCCAGAACAGCAAAGAAGGGATCAAACCTTACATTCTGTTTTGGGGAACATTCCGTATTTCAGTTTTAAGCATTTAGGACCTTTTTGTTTCTTTAATCACTTTTCCCATTTCATACTGAGGATAAATCCTGAAATTTTCATGTCAAGGTGTCATAGTGAATGGAAAATATTTAAGAAATCATTATATTCCAGATGAACGGAGTTTTCATACTCCAAAAACACAGTGCAAGTACATTTTAATGCACTCTCATGTGCAGGCTAAGTACGAAAATGGTCTTATTGTGATCTCCTAACTCCAGACACAAAAAGCTTCTCATTTTAGCAGTACAAAATAAGATTGCAGACACTTAATTTTGAGGATGGGAAGAGCTGCAACGTGGCAAACTTTAAAACAGTGTGGACCCTACTTGCTCCCTACAATCAACCCCAGGCTTCCGAGCAGAGTGATGTTGAACGCGGTTGTAAATGAAAATCTGTATGGTCCCAATACAGATCTTTACAGAAGTTTTGAGGTCCAGGGGAACCTCTGAAAGATGCACGCAAGATACATGGTTAGTGTAGTGGTATTTTCATTCTTATGAATTATCATTCTTATGAATGACAGCAAGAAAGCTCCGTTTCCTTCTAAGACGATAATTCATTAGTTATGTCGTGCCTCCCACATTATTATTAAATATTATAAAATTATTGTAAAATTATTAAAATCCTATTAAAAATAATATCTCATGAGGATGTCAGTTAATTCCTTTTATAAGAACTATCCTGGAAAATAATTACTATTGTGTATGTGTAGCAATACAATAAACATTTACATACCGACTATACTATACTAATATATTTCCAAACTATTAGAAGGCATTATTGAAAATATTACTAAACAAAGTCTAATTAGAAATGAATGTCTGCAAAACTAACTCTCACTTTCAAAACACAGACTTCTTAATAAGAGAGAAAAAAACCTAGTGTAATTTTAAGAAGAAATCAATATAGTTCAGAAACATTTTTCTTTTTACATATTATATGTCAACTTTCCACTTAATTTAAACAGAGGAGTACTGACAAGTTGATGTTATGGAAATTGTTCTTTTTATTTTAAAATTGTGTATTTTTGAAGCTGAGAAGATCTGATTTATAGCTTGTCTCCTAAAAGAGCAGAAACAGCTTGTCTCTGTTTTTTTTCCAAGCTCTAGCATAGATTTGTGCCTGAGCTGATTTCCTACACATGCCCTGACATGTTATCCTCACAGGACTGCTTTGTGCTGTGCTTTATGTGCACTGTGTAACTTGTGCAAGGGAAAATCATCTGAGGACTTTGACCAGTTAGAAGGTCTTTTCCAGCCAGAATGCCTGCAAGGGCCCTGCCTAAGCCAAGCCCTTCCTTTTATTGCAATGTGCTGTGGTTGTAACCCAAAGCACCTCTGTTTCCATTTGCCTATACCAGTTTTATGAGGATTTGTGATACACACATTTGCTGTTCCCAGCTTGCATTCTGCATGCTCCCCTTTTCTGAGATGCCCTCTTGCAATCAAGAACTTCTGTGGTATTTCCAGATGCATTGGTATTCACTTTTTTAGTCTTTCTACTTTAAACTATTGCAAGGAAAACAACATTAACAAAAGCAGTGGGCAGCTGAAAAATTGTAGAAAGCACTGGGATAACAACCGCATCTTGTGCTCCACACCCGTTTACCAAACAATCAAAAAATAAATTAAGGAACAAAATAGTTGCAACTTGTAGCCATGCCAGAACGATGCAAGGGTCTCGAAACAAACAAACAAGATCCCCAATAAACCTAACTGATGAAAAAGCCTTACTTTACAAATTAGTTTGAAATCAGATCAACCAAAATGTAATCTCATGACAACATTATGATACTGCCATTTACCATGACAAGTAACAGAACAAAGAGCTTTGTACAATAATTTGTCCAGTCTTCCAAGTTGATGGTTTACCTACCAATTTCAGCCCTTTATGAAAAAGGGACTTGCAAAAAATGTCAGATTTCAGGATAAATGTCAGATTTTCAGGAAAATGTCAGGATTGCATGACTCAAACAATGTGGAGGAGCAGAAGGGAAAACGAGAAAGGGGTCTATGGTACATTAAACATTTAGGAGTGAAACTGCAAAGATATAAGAATAGAAATAAGTTATCGTGAAGCAATTTAGAGCACAAACATGCAAAATATTAGCAACTCCATGATAACTGCAGCACTAAACTTCTACAGATCAAAATGCTAAGAAACTGCTGTGGTATTGCCCGTTTCCATGTAAAACGTAAGCCTTTCTGAAATTCCTGATTCTTCCTTATGAACAATAAGCTATCAATTAAACTATAGTTGAGTATATTAAATGCTTAAAAATACATCTAAGTTGAATGTCTTCAGTAACAAGGATATAAACACCATTGATACGTTCATCTTACCACTTCCTTTCTCAAACCCTTAATAATCAGAATTCTTCTTGAATATCCTGCTAATACTACATTACATTAATGACAGCTACCTCAGAAACATAGGAACTGCAGCTGTCACATACAGTTTTAACAAACTATTACTATCTAAAAACAAGAAAACCCTTCAACAGTGCAACAGTATGCTGAAAAATTGCACAGAATACTTGACATAAAATAACTTAAGCTAGAACCTGAACTAAAAAACATGTATCTACTATTTTTATCCTGTCTATTTTTAAAATGCTTCACAGTGAGAGCTGACATTCTGCTACTTCTAAGCAACAGAAAATGATGCAATTTTGAGGTACATCACACTAACTTTTCATTTTCCTTCAGAAATTTGAAGCATTCAGCACAACTTCTTAGTTAATTACAGAAATACTCATGAGTTACCTTTTAATTACATAGAGTGAAACAGCTCTCCATAATCCAACACAGACTTTCTCCTCCTTTAGCTGAGGTTCTAGTACTAATGGCATAGAGCGGACACACAGGTAGCGAGGATAGTGGCAGATTGAAAAAAGCAGAGAACAAAGTAAACATGCCTTAACTTCTTGTTTCACTTGTAAAAAAAATTGGGAAAAAACATTCTTTTCACCACCCAACCCCCAAGAAAAAAAAACCATATGTGCTGACAGACCAGCTGTGTTGGCTGCTGTTGAACAGAAAAGCCCAACTGTAAGTTCTGCCTGCATCCCCCCACCAGGGGCTACATGACTTGAAAGAGTCCCATCTGCTAGAGTCAAGTTCGTAAAATCTGGCATCGGAGTGAATGAATTAATTGTAGAATCAAAAAATCATTTTTACTCCAAAATGCAGAATCTACCAAGAGGGAAAAAAAACTCAGAAAGCTGAGCTCAAAAAAGCCTAGTTTATCCCACAGAAAAGGCTCTTTGTAATACAGCTAGCTTTCCATAAATGTTTTGATAAAGCGAGTGTGTGTGTAAAGGAATAATAGTGGATGAATGGTTAATAGCTTCTAATCAACTCCATTATAAGGTAATACTATAACTTATGACCGATTCCATTACAACTATCAACTCTGTTATCAGCTGCATTGTAATACCATTATAACTAGTTTTGCTATACTCCTAAGCATCATGATTTTTCATTTTGGTGAGGAGGGAGGAGATGCTTAAAGTAACGCTAAAGAATCAACTGAGGGTCATTGGCACTCATGACATGTGCCCAAATCACAGTCTGCAAGGAAACAGACATTTGAACAGATTCACACCAAAAAGTTCAAATATTCCTTTCATCAGGTTACTCGACCTGTATTTGGAATAAATGACAAGAATTAAAGGCTCATAAACACCAAGTCTGTAGTAAACCTAAGGAAAGGTTACAGCACAACCATTGCAGTTAAACAGATGATGAAGCTGCCAATTAAAAAAATTCAAGCATGTTTTACTCTAGAATAACAAATAAGAACAGTAATTTAGCTTTTTACTAAGTTATGTAGTTACTATTTCATTAGGTTCCAGACTTGTCTGGATTCTAAGCTCCTGCCTGTATTGTTTTTTCAGATCCTTCCCTGGATCTAAACTAAGTTCAATAAAGATTGAGTGCTGGGCAGTAGAAGAGGGTGCCAAACAACTTTTTGTGGATAACTCTTCTTACATCTCAGTAGCACCAAGGACCATGTGTGACTCAACTAGCAAATTTATTCATGCTATGACACTGTTCAAATCTGCTTGATAATTAAACATCTCTTATTATCTGTGCCCTCCCTATTTAAATTGCAATCTCTCTAAAACAAAGACTACATATTTCTCTGCTTGCCATAAAGAACCCCTGTTCCTGATTATTCCTAAGTGTTTTTAAAAATGTATTTTGGATCTAATATATTTGATATACAATTAGTGCTTAAGAATAGAAAACACCAAAATCTACCCTGTTCTTTTATTTCATTTCTATATTGATTCTTGAAATGTTATAGTCTGACTTCAGATTTCTTTGCTTCATTGATGCAATTATTTTTCATGATTTTTGACACACAACTTACCCTAATTTTCTTCTTGCAGATCTTGTGAAATAACGGTAAGATGACACAGGCATACGGGACGCACTTCCCCTTAAAATAGGAACAGGAGAAAAGCAGAATCTATGATACTCAGAAATTCACCATTACTGTACAATCTCATCTAATAAAAACTTGTGGAGCAAAGATGCATGTTTTGCTTTCAGGAGAAAAGCAGAATCTATGATACTCAAATGTTGTAATTTTTCTTAATGAAAGGAAAACCATTAATAACTTTGCAGTAACAGGGCCAAGATAGAACTTCTGTACCCCAGGGGCTTCTTCTGTTTTCACTCAATCCAAGTTGCATTTCATCTACCTCAAAATATTCTGAATGCCTGACCTTTTTTTACACTATGAGAATTGTTTCATGAAGAAAAAAAAAAATGGTTTGCTAGATTTCTTAACACCGAATCTGTCAAATATATACTAGGCTCTATAACACTGAATAGGGCTACATTGGATTTTGCACAACCATTGCAACAAAGGGAAATCTTACACAAGCAGAAATTTTGCTTTTGAAACTACTAAGTTTGTACCAGAAATATTTTTTTCTCAAACTGATTATCCTTTGTCTACATTTGACTAGTCACAATACAATTGCATGAACCCCAACACAAGCAAAACTAAGTACTATAGGTTATCAGAGCCTTTAGGTGACTATGTTACCAACCTCTACCTGTCTTTCTGACAGCAAGTTGGAGCTTTAGGTTAATGACATATCTTCCATTAACCAGAAAGCTTCAAACATGCAAACACTTATTCCCTAAAGAATGGGTACACCAAAACATTATTCTTCTTGATTCTGCATTTTCAGTGAGGACATTTTTCTTCACTGGTATATTTGATGGTTGTTTCACAGCTAACCACTTAACTATACTTTGCTCAAGAATTAAAAATTATTTACTGAAAATCTCCAAAATTAACAACAAAGTAGTGTAAATATTAATCTGAAGAGAGCATCATCAACCAAACACACCTGATTCAACCTATCACTTGTTAGCCCGATATTCTAACTCTCCTCATCTGATGTCAATTAAAAAAAAAAAAAAAAAAAGGACTTAGTTGCCCTTTAAGAATGAAACTTTTAAGCTTTTAAACGTTTTTCTGGGGCCTCGGTTCTGAACTAACTTACCTAAATACTTTGCCTGGGATCCACTACCTATTTCTACCCATTGTTAAGTGGTTACTTTTCAACTTTATGAAAACATCTTACTGTTCAGTATCTGTACGTAAACTGCGTGTTCTCTTTCTCTTGACCGTTCTCTTTTTTGTTATGAAAGCTTGATGTTGATGTTGTTCCCCAGGAGAGCAATGTCCACCAAGAGGAGACTTGACTTCTTTATTTTTAAGGTTTCGGGTTTTTTCCCTGTGAACACTATCTTCTTTTGACGGGGAAGAACTTTCAACAGACTGAGAAGTATCTTTCTGCAACCACAAGTAATTATTTAACAGTTAAAAAACACATTAAACTGTTGCTTCCAACTCAAAAACCTTAAAGTTTCTTTTCTCTAAATAACTTTTAAAGTTAACCAAATTAAACATCCTATCTTCTGAAAGTCACAAGAAACTACGAGGTTATTCTGTCTAAAAGCGACAGCGAGTGCACTGAAGCAGTCAGCTCTCCCCCCTCCTATGTTACATTACCCCAAGTTATCTGATCAGTCGATAACTTCTAAACATTTACATGCTTTCATGAAGGAGTGCCAGAATACTGTTTTAAACAGAGAATTAAGAGAGAGTATTAAACAGTTTTAAACTGAGAGTTTCAAAACTTCTTTTGCTCTCAAAACGACAAACCAGTTAATTAAGAAGCAATATAAAAAGGTGCTGAATTCAAAGGCAAAATTCTCAGTCTCATTATGCTCACAGCTGCCTGACTACCACAGGACTGATTTTCAAGCACTGTACCTGAGCAGGTTCCACTCCTGAGGCATCTTCAGCCATGCTACTACAGCTGATGTATCTTATGGCACTAATTATTCCCTGAATAGCGATGCGCTTGTGCTCCCTGTAGTGCAAGTCTTCAATCTCACTCCCCATTTCACCTATTGCTTTCAGAATTGATTCAACTGCAAAAAGCAATTCCCACAAACAAGTTTTAAACAAACAGTATCAGAACATCTGAATACAAGATTCAAAAGGAAACTGAAATGTTTGATAAGTACTAAAATGATTTGAAATTGAAAAATTTTAAAGCCTTTTATTGCTCACATCAGATAAAAATACATTTTTTCATCCCACAAGAATCTTTTAGTATGTGCTAGCAAATAGGTATCATTACTTGTATTCCATGTGAAATTTTTATTTTGCTATATTGTTCAACGTAACTGTCTTTAATTCTGATTTAGCATAATCTTAAGTCTGAAACCTCAAGCGGGCAAGTTGTTAACAGTTTGCCTGCAGTTCATGGACTTGTGACATTTTCTGTAAGATAAGGTGTTGCATATGATACATTATTAGTTGTTATTTTCATAAACGGCATGCCATTAATACAAACTAAATCACAGGCCATTATTAATACAAACTTGTATAATATGTAAAAGTAACTGTTATTTTTAAAATAAATTATAGTTTTACATGCTTGGAATAAAACTGAACTGAGAAGGTTATAAATCTTAAAGATACTTGACAGCTTACCTTTACTGTTTTTACAATATCTCAGAAAGTTATCTGGGGGTCGTGGAAAAGGGTAATAGCCACCAATGACAGTTTTCTTCATTTGATCAGCTTCACGTTGCGTTTTAATCCACTGAATGAAGTTTTTCACTTTGGTATCCTTGATGTATGGCTGACCCTTGTGCCACCCTTTCAAAACAAAATGATCAGGTATCAGAGAATAAAGCAGGTTACTGTCATCAGTTTTCACCTTGAAACTATCCTGAACAGTGCACAAAAATGAAAAACACTCTACTAGAGAATGCAAGGACATCCATTCAACTATACTTTATGAAATGTATATCCTTAATTCCTTGACTAATACTGCATTTCACTCTTACAGTTAAAAAAGAAAATGTCAAAAAAAATGCTGATAGAATATGCTTTTACAGGACAGAAAATAAATAAATAAATAAAATTCAAGAAATTGTTCAGTCGCATCTCCTGCGCTGAAGATCTATACTTCCCTCCTTCTTTTCTATCCCAACAAGAACAAACACCTAAGTCATCTGCATAGGTTTTGGCCAACATCTTTTACTGCAAGGTGATTGGTAACATATGCATTTATTATTGGATGTAAATTGTGGCTTATTTATTATTGTTGAAGCCAAGATATTGTCTAAGTACAAGTTTTAGCAAATGAATTGTAATCTGAGCAAGTCTGCTTCTAAACTATGATCTAAAAGACATCTCCAAAAATGTCTTGCAATCTCCAGTTGCTCTTCTCATTTAGGACCCAAATGAACATAAAATGAATTAAAATTAGAATGCAAAAAGCTCCGAGTGAAACATTTAATTAGAAAGCCGAGCACAAACTATACTAAAGACAAGTGAGGAAGAAATCTTGAACTCTTCATTTAGCAAGAAATTTTTAAAAATCACCAGAAAACTGTTAAGAAAAAAAAAAAAGAGAAAAAAAAAACCCTACCCAGCTTCTCAGAAAAGCTGTGTGCACACAATTGACTAGGTTCAGGTAATTTACTAGCACATATTTCTTCCTCTGTTCCTACTTGTCAGTGGTAAGATTGGGAATGGATGTGCGGTCTGTTGGGAATACCAAAGAAATGAGCTGGATAGATACACACAGGAAAGCTACGCCTATCAAATCCTGTACTGCCTCGCAGTCATAGCAGTAGACTGCTCGCCTGCAATACTGGGCTGTGCTCTGTCTCCTCATTCAGGAGCAAATGTGCCTCATCCTGCCTGGGACTTGCTCGCTGACAGTGTCTAGCACACAGTATCACAGGGCCACCAAGAGCACTGGGCTGCAGCAGAGCGTATCCAAACAAGAGCAGCTAGAAGGGAAAAGCCTGGACTGGAGCTCAACGCCACATCCCTTCCCAGCACATTGGGAAAGAACGTAAGAGCTCTCCAAATAGACCAGGAAAAATATTAACTAAGACAAGTTTAACATAACTATACCTATTTATACTTTTTTTTGGAATAATGAAATATACAATCAAGAAAAGCTGCAGAAGATTTTTTTCTTTATTTTAAGGAATTACACTCAAATGATTAAAATAGTCTGGAAAGAATTAGTAAATATATGACTTAAGCATAGTTATGTACTTTTTCATAGGACACACCAGATACACCCATTATTGCCTCACCAGAATGCAACTTGCCCCTCTCCCTTTTTGCGATGTTATTTCATTACAGGTTGAAAGTTAGTTCTGAAAGAAAACTAATGTTATGCATTACATTTTTTGTTATAAAACCGTATTTTTTTCCTGTTTCAATTAAAGTCAGAAAGCTTGAAAGCACTAAAATATCTTTTCCAAAGAAACAAGAATATAAATACATAAACTTAAAAATAGTTTAAGTTACCTGTAATGAATATTTGACTTTCATTTGAAGTTGTAAGATAAATTGTCTTAGAAGGATTCTCCGTGATGTCCCGTACCACTCTCATTTGTGTACACACCAAGTATGTCACTAAAGAAGAAAAATACTTCAGTTTTCTCTGATACCTCATTGATTTCAGCATTTCAAGGCTGATTATACACATGATCAAACCCAGATACTTCATTTCTTGAGCCTGCAAATGCTTCAGCATATGTTCAGCCTTCGTTAGAAGTTATGACATGAGGATACAAGTTGATTTTCAATTTGCAAGAGCTAGGCAAGGAAACTTCAACGTGTATTCTAGCACTAAAATATGAGAAACCTCACCAGGTATCAGTGAAATACACAGCTACCACATGAACATTAGACAGTTGGATTTCCTAAAGAAAAAAGCGTAACAAACGTAAAAAGTACAAGAAATCACGAGCTGCCACTGTAAAAGTTCTACATAGAATATAAACTCATTCTTTAGTTAATAGCCCAGTTAAACTTAAGAATA